GGTTGGGTCCGGATCCGGACCGTGGTCCGCTAATCCCTGACTTCTGGTTTTAGTGGTTTGCTGCTCCAGCACAGCTAATTTTAATTGATGGATGATTAACAGGTTTTAGCTTTACTGCAATCATCATATTCAGCTGTGCTAAAGCTGGGAAACCTCTAAAACCTGCAGATAAGCTCCAGGTTCCAGAAAGGTCCGAGTGGCTGCAGGTTTTCTTTCCAACCAAGCAGTAGCAAACCGGACTCCAGTCAGATCACCAAGTCGTCATGTTAAGACTGGACTATTTTTCCTTCATCTTTAACTTTCTGTGAAGGTTTTGGCTCAGGATCGTTTCCACGTCAACCTTTCTTCCCCTTTGGCTTAACAGAAAGTACCGGAAAGGAGGGACGGTGAGGTCCAAAGTTAGGTTTCTGTATTCAAGCCAGTTTATCCAGGATTAGCGGCTAAACCTTCATTTTATGCTCACCTTTAGCAGCGATAACAAAGATGCATCCAGTTGGCTTCTGTTTGTAGACCCCTAATCAATACCCGTTTATCCCTTCAGTTAAGTAGTTAAGCGTATGGCGAGCTGATCTTAAATTTTTTTTTGTACATGACTGAAGGGATACATCCCCGTTGAAGTAGTGTAAAGTTTAAATTTTCTACAAAACTAAATGGATAAATGCAAATCTGACATCTTGCAGATGCGTGTTGACTATATGCTAATCTGACAGAACAGCGGCTGTTTGGCTGCATTTCGCAGCTAAAAACAAATTTAACTTTAAAAGATGGAGGGAAAAGCAAAGTACTGAAGAAGCTCTTCTTTAATGTCACGTTACATTCAAGGCAAATGATACATCCTGACCGATACACGTTTGGCAATGCAGTCATGTTAGCTCTCTGTAGAGTCAGAAATCAGTGCACAACATTAATACACTTAACAGTCAACGGAGAACACAGCCTGCACACATCCCGCCGCCACAACCAACAGAAAAATAGATCCCAAAATAAGTTATAGATATTTCTATATAGAGATACAAATATTGGGCTTTTGGTTCGTATGTATGTACAGGAATATAGACTTTGCTGGGATTCCAAAACAACAGAAGTTGCACAGCAGTTAAGAATCCAAGAACACGAAAATATCCCAAAATATTTTACACACATAGTAAACAGTCAGTCTTCAAGATGCAGTATGAAATTGCACATTGTCTTCATGCCACAGAGGGGGCTTTTTCAAGGCTTTGGTACACCACGTCCTGATTGGAAGAAGAAGAAGAAGAAGAGGTTCTACTCCGACCCTCCCTGATCCAGCACCTCCGTCGCTATGACGCCGTGGAGAGGGAGGAGGGGAGCGGACGCTGTGGCGAGGTACATCCACACCGCCACCTGATCCTGGGTGGGACTAACGGAGCCGGAGGACTACAGTACACTTCGGGGTTCGGGGAAGACTCTTGGCACTTGGTTTCACAGGTGGAGGTCGGTGCTGGATGACCGATGAAATGCAGCCGAGTTGGACGGGTCATCGAGGGTCACGCTGCGGCGACCGCATCAAAAGGGCCGCGATGACTGCGGAGCGGATGGAACCTACCACACCGACCGGCTGGAGGCAGAGGAGATTCTGCCTTCGTCTAAATCAGCTTTTTATTTGGAGCTTGAACAATTGCAGCCATTTTTCTAGACAGGAGGAGGATGATGATGATGCAGGTGGAACGATGGGCATCTTCAGATTATCAGAACAGGAACGTGTGGATTCCCTCCCTTTAAACTGCTGTGTTCTAAAAGATCCAGATGTTTCCTGGAACTAAAATATCCTGGAATTTAAAGGCGATGCTACACATAATGGTTGGTTGGTTTTTTTGTGCCTTTAACTGCTGGTAAAGATCAAAGGTTTATTCAGAGGGAGGCGGAGCAGCAGGGCGAACCGGAGCAGGTCCATCACAGAGCAGGACCCAGAAGCTAAACGCCGTTAAAGTGACAGGAAGTAAAACTGTCGGATCTTAAAGGAACGCAGACAGACTCCAGCTGGAGCAGGTTTACAGGATTCTGTCGTGTCAAACCGCTTTGAAAGCAGCTGAAGCCGCAGACAGAAGCCAAACCCCAATCATCCCTCCTTCTTTCCTCCGAGCTTAAATCCTCCACTTGGTTCATGATCAGAACCCACCAGTGGCTCAGAAATAACAGCTGAAAACCCTCATTACTGCAGAAAGGACCAGTGATGTGGAGGCAGCGTTTACTGGAGTTAACTGACTCTCGTTTGTGCAGCAAATCACTGACGATCCGTTAGGAACGGCATCATCTGCTGGTTCAGACACCTTAACCTAAAGCAGCTTCTCAGATTATCCCCAGCAGGAAGGTCTGTGGTTTAAATGGATGGGATTAAACTGATTTCAGATAATAAAGTAAAAAATCTTGGTGTTGTTTTTGATCAGGACC